CTTAGGATGACAACAAACATTCAATGCAAAGCAAACAAAATTGGAGCTCCTGGTACAGCTGTACCTGCACAGATTCTATGGACACATGTTCTTTGTTTTTATATAGAGGAGGATGAGGAAATCACAAACACATGTAACAATGTCTGCAAATCCAGAACCTGCCAAGTGGCCGAGCAAATTGCCCTAGTTCCTGGCCACGTGTTACTATTCTTCCTAGATGAGAAACAACTGTATGGGAAGACTGCACAACTAGAAACTCGTAGGATCTTCTTAGACATTATCATAGTAGTATGAAAAGATGATTGAGGTAAGCAGATCCTGTGTACAATCGAGACCAAAAATTCAGAACATCAAAGACAAGCAGGAAACTCAAACAACCCAATAATGTGGATTTTTTTCCCATCAACTGTAATACTTCAGTTGCAAAGCCACAAAATGAAATAAGAGACATTTCAACATGAAAATGAACACATGGACTGCTTGAACATAAACTGTGTTGTCAGCTGGCAAGTCTTTCAAAGCCTCTTCTAAACATGGAGCTGCTATTAATGTGACTATATCCATCCATTTATCTTTTCTGTCTTGTGTTTTCCTGTTGCTGTCAGATTAAGCAATATTATCTTTCATTTAAAGCCAGTAAGTAGGAACTATTGGCTTACTCCAATGTCATGCTCTAGCAATGAGAACAAACCTTGACATGGAGGGCTGTCATGCCAGACAATCAAAAAGCCACCCAGGTGGCAAAGGTAACCTTCAACCATTTTTTTCTTCATGTCAGAAGCTAGTTGAGAAACTGCAAGTCGCTTCTGGTGTGAGAGAATTGGCCATCTGCAAGGACATTGCCCAGGGGACCCCCGGATGTTTTACCATCCTTGTGGGAGGCTTCTCTCATGTCCCGCCATGAGAAACTGGAGCTGACAGATGGGAGCTCACCACACTTCCCGGATTTGAACTGGCAACCTTTCGGTCAGCAGTCCTGCCGGCACAAGGGTTTTTAACCCATTGCGCCACTGGGGCTTCAGCCATGACTATTACATACTACTGTGGCTGGACTTGAAGAGAAGCACAGCATGGAAAGCTTACTTTTAATGGAAACAACTGTTCTCAGAGTTACCCAGTCATCCTGACCGTTCCCATTCAGGGACTTGATAGTCCAAACAAGCAACCTTTCCAAACTCTAAAAAGCAGGAAGCCCATACTCGTCCCAAATCTGTAGTCCCAAAAGGAAAGCAACTCAATCATTACAGTCACCAAAAAGGCTCATTCCTATACAAGTTCATAACCTCTTAAAAAGGGAAGAACAACACATTCCTTTCCTCTTTTAAAATTAAACAACTATTTCTTATGTGCCAGAGAATAAATTTCAATAATCTCTAATCATGGTTTAGTTTGTTTGACTAAACAAAACCAAAAAAAAAAATGGTTCTGCTGTGTGGGTTTACTCACATTTGAAATGTTTTTCACTCATGACTTTGCAGTTTGTATGCCAGCTACATAAAACAAAACCTAAGAAAAGACTTTTCAATAAACACCATCAGTTTCTTGTTCTCTAACTCTTTAAAAATGTATTCAGCTGAGATGCAGATCTGTTGCAACTAAATATGATATTTTAATCCTCATCCTACCAAATGGGGCATTTTGGTGCCCCAGAGTACTTCAAAATTCACATAAATCTAGACCAGCAAGGTACGTGTTTTGTGACCTGATTACCCCAATATTTTGAAGTAATTTCTGTCATTTGACATGTACATTTTAATGGGAAAACCCTTATACAATAAATCAAACATGTTTGCTGTTTTCTTTTTTGTTGTTGTTGCATAATTTTTTATTATTCACAGCAAGAAAAGCATTTTACTATCTATCTATCTATCTATCTATCTATCTATCTATCTATCTATCTATAAATGCTCTGTGTGTAATGAGTACCTTAAAAACAAAAGAAGCAGTGAACAAAATCACACCAAGTTTGCCAACAAAACATCTCACAACACAAGGAGTGACCATCACTCAAAAAATTATGATTTTGTCATTTGGGAGTTGTAGTTGCTGGAATTTATAGTTCACCTATAATCAAAGAGCATTCTGAACTCCACCAATAATGGAATTGAACCAAACTTGGCACACAGGACTCCCATGACCTACAGAAAACACTAGAAGGGTTTGGTGGGCATTGACCTTGAGTTTTGGAGATGTAGTTCACCGGCCTCCAGAAAGCACTGTGGACTCAAACAATGATGGATCTGGACCAAACTTGGCATGAATACGCCATATGCCCAAAAGTGAACACAGATGGAGTTTGGGGGAAATAGACCTTGACATTTGGGAGTTGTAGTTACTGGGATTTATAGTTCACCTACAATCAAAGAGCATTCTGAATCCCACCAATGACAGAATTGGGGCAAATTTCCCACAAAGAATCCTCATAACCAACAGAAAACACTGTGTTTTCTTGTGGTCTTTGGCGACCCTTCTGACACCCCCTTGCAACCCTCCTCCCCAGGGGTCCCAAACCCCCATACTTAAAGCCAACCAGTCCAACTCCCTTCACCAGAGCAAGAAAACATAATCAAAGCCCTCCTGACAAAGGGCCATCCAGCCATTCACACACACACACACATGTATATGACAGATGCAGTATCAAAGATTTGAAAGGGACCCCTAAAGAAGGACAATATGTTGCATGTTCCAGAGTAGGTAAACCAGACACTCTCCACATCAACGCTGGCAAAGAAACAGCAAGGAATACTGTTTACCCACAAGCATAAAGACATTACATATATTAGAAACCAACACTTTCACATAACTTTATTTTCCAGATCACCAGACTGGGCCACAGCAACACATGGCAGGAGACCTCTAGTTTTACATAAAAAATGGGAGAACATTGTGCTTATAGAAAAGTAGGAAACAAGAAAAAAAAACTACATAAAGGAGAAATTGGGGGAAAAAGGGAAAAAGAAGAGTCCCATTGACTTCCATCCTGTACCTCTGCTATACTAATTTTCTTACTCTGTGAGTTCAGATATATAGAAAAATAGAAGTCCTACAATTAAAGTTCTGAGAGTGTGAGAAGATCCAACCAGTCCATACTTCAGGAAATAAAGCCCGACTGCTCATTGGAGAGAAGGATAGTAAAGGCAAAGATGAAGTACTTTGGCCACATCATGAGAAGAAAGGAAAGGTTAGAGGAGACAATTATGCTGGGGAAAATGGAAGGGGAAAAAAAGAAAGAGGGCCCGACCAAGGGCAAGATGGATGGATGGGATCCTCGAAGTGACTGGCTTGACTCTCAAGGAGATAGGGGAGGTGACGGCCGACAGGGAGCTCTGGCATGGGATGGTCCATGAGGTCACGAAGAGTCGGAAGTGACTGAATGAATGAACAACAACAAGGTGCTGATGGACTGCGAGTTTCTGATGTGAGCTTCATATGCTGATGAAGTTCCAGCATTCATAGTCAGCAGACAAAAATAGTGAGGAATATTGTGAGTGATGGTCCAACAATATCTGGAGGGCCACACAATTTCCGTATCTGTGCTATTGGAAGAAATACTTGTCACATACAACATTTATTTTCAAATGGGCTAATCCTTTAATCCAATTGCTATTTTAAAAGTATCAGTCACAATTCTGGCCTAATATATAAGAGAGATAACGAAATGGTGATTTATTACTTATCTAGATGTTAAAATATTGTTTTGTACCGCAGATTTGCTTACACAAGCCTTTTCCTAAAGAACAAAAAGCACAAGTTTCTGCTACCACCCCATATTTTTGTTTTTGTCTTTTCAAGAAAAACATTCCAAGGCATCATGATCTTCTCCTGAGAAGCCTCCACTGAATCGTTCATAAAAATCCTGTCAAAAATCTAGCTTTTGTGAGGTTGTTGTAAGATTTTCAAGCCAGTTCATATGTCTAAAGCAAGCATTAAATAATAGGGGGACTGCTCAAGTGATTGTGTAATGGCATTCATGAAAAATTAAGTGCTTAATTTGTGATTAGATAAAAACTATGGACAAAAGAGCATTTGAGGCCAACCGGAACAAATTACCAATTCAATCCCATGTTGGCTTGTTGGCAGGAGAGAGCAGAAAGCATACACAACGGTAACCAAGAAGGTAGGAAGTGCTACACCCACTATTAGAAAGAATGGGTTGTTTTTATTTGTGTTCTATTCATACCGCAACATTGTTGAAATATTATAATGAACAAATAATTAGCAGAGATAAGGCAATTATTGAAATTTTACTTCTAAAACAGTGCCTGACTGCCTCTGTATCCCATAGGGTATACTTCCATAAAGACAGGACGACAAGCACATCAAGCTCTTGCTGGTGGCTCTGATATTTGTTGGGCAGTGACACAATTCTGGATTTTAGTCCAAATTTTAAAGGAGCGACCCAAAGTGACAGAACTAT